GAAAGAGTGAAACCTCAGCTTTTTGCTGCAACCCTCCTTCCTCTTCTGTTTCCTGTTTTGTCTTCCTTTTCCCATGTTGGTCTATTCAAATGATATCTAATTAGAACAAGGACCTGCTACTTTCCTTGTTCTTGTTTTTTTTCCTTGTCCTGTCCACCTTTATTTGTTAACAAGTGTTTCCCCATTCATGCGGTTGTGGACACAATTTTTTTATGTAGCCATAGTTTGTACCCTCTAGCTGGCATGTTGTTTGCTCAACTTTTTAGGAAGGTGAATATTGTGTTTGGGCAAGAAAGAATCATTCTTTGTTCAGAATTATTCTTCCGAATAACATTAGCACACACAAATACACATGTAAATATGTTTGCAAATGGTTTCTTTTTAGGTTCTGTATAACTCTGAAAATGATTTGCACACACATCTGGGGGCCAGAATGTGGCTAGTAAAATCTTTGGGGTTTTTGAAGTGTGTACATAATAACAGAACTAAAAGTGAGGCTTAGATAAACAGGAAAAACAAAATGGCTATGTCCAGATGAGCAGAGGCATGTAGTTCGTGGCACCACAAACTGCATGGGCATGTTAAAATGTGCCCTGCGCTGGAAATCTACAGTGTGGGGGGTGAAATTTGCTACCAAAAAAGTGCCGGGAAAGAAGTGAAGCAGAGCACTCTACAGTAGCATGCACTGGGAGACTTGGTCCTCCAGTGAGACGCTCTTGTTGCCGGACAGAGTGTCTTTATGTTCCATTTGTGCCCCAGCGCACAGAGCTGGGAGGAGCTGGGCAAGAGCATTTGGCTCACAGCAGGGCAATTTGTCCTGCAACAAAGTACACGTGCAGGGGAGTGTGCTGAGGCACAAAGTAGCAGCACAAGTTTGTGCTGCTGCAAGTGCATGCCCTTGTTCATCTGGACACAGCCAATTTGTGTAAAGCTAGAATCGCACCAAATGCTTTTGGAACACTGACGTGATGAATTGGAGTGACTTTCAAAAATGACATTTTAAGTCTAGGAACATACTTAATTCATGGTTTTGCAGATTACACGGAAACTGTGAAATCTGGGATTGTCTGTAAAATCTGCAAAATCAAAACGACAACAACAAACTTAATAAAAATAACATGCCGACTCCCTACTGTAAGCCAGTAGTCCTCACTGCTGGGAGGGGAAGGCACTGACTGGCGAGGGGGCATGAAGCTCGGCAGACAAGATGATGGCTGCCCCCTCTCCCTCTTTCTCTGCCCGAGACTCTTGGCCAGTCAGTGCCGAGGGGCAGGGTGGCCCAAAGGGCATCCAGCAATCAAGATGGCGGCCACCCCTTCATCCTACCTGCCTTCTCCCCCATGGGGCCTTTCTGCAAAGCAGCGCCGAGCAGCAGGACCACTGTGAAATGCCTGAGAAATCAGCTCTGCGTGCTGTGAGCAGGCTGCAAAAAACCCTTTTCTTGTTGTGATTGTAGGTCCTTATTTTACATCTGGGTATAGTCCCTGTTTACGTCTGGGTTACTACTATATCACCCCTTTAGTTACTGTCACAAGTTTTAACATTAGGATTTTTGGGGTGGTTGAGTTATTCCTTTATATAGACTGCCTGCAAGGTAACTTCTGAAGTGAATGAGACCACTCTTATAGATGCAGAGAGCAAAATCATTAGCCTGTAAGAAATAACATAGATTAACAGCTCAATTTTGAAAGTAATCAACTTGATGCATGGTGCTACTTGTGTCAGTTTATCTGTTGAAAATGGCTTAACAAAGGAGCTGTAATAAAAGCTTCAAATGTGTAGTGGCTCTTGCTTATGTAAATCGTTGAGGTCCAACATATGTAAGAGGTCCAATGGGACCTATAAATATAACTGAGTGTAAGGACTCTTTTCCAGTGCTTTTATAGTGTAAACTATAGCCTTGGTGAGGGAAGGACTATGTGCCTTTTTGTATGTTGTTAGTATGGTATGTAAGGATGGGACAGATACAGGGGGGATGCAGTGCACCCCTCCCCTCCCCACTTCATTTGAGGCCACAGGAGCAGCAAATTGGGTAAGGTTCTGCCCCTCACTTCCCCTCTGCTCAACAGCATGTCCCCGGGGTCCCCTTCTCTCCCCTTCCCTACCCTCCCCTTCCTGCTGTGGCCACTGTTGTTCCCACTGTCTCTGTCTGCCCTGGATAGGGCAGGTGGGGGTAGCTGTGATCCTACCCTGTTCCAGCTAGGCTGCTTGGGAGATTGGTCTCAGCTTGGGCCAGCAGTGGTGGCAGGCGGGTTCCTCTTTCCTGACCAATTCCCCCCAGCTCCCCTGGTGTTCTTTGCTGGCATGGGAGCAGGCTCAGGAGATTGAATCCACCTACCACTGCCTCTGTTCCTGGCTGAGCCTGGTTCCCTGTGCAGGCCCAGCTAGAACAGGGGCTGCAAAGCTCCCTCGCCCTTGCCCCAGCTTCCTATGGCAGTTCAAGACAGTGGCAACAACGGATGATGGATTGGGCAGGGTGGATAGGAGAGGAGGTGTTGCTGAGCATGGAGGAGGTGCTGGCGGGGAGCAGTGGAGGTTCTTACTTGTCAGACTAAAAATCCCCTATTGCTTGTTTGGTGTGGTGTGGCATACTCACCCCAGTGGGGTTGGGGTGCAGCCCCCCCTGCAGTCACTGCTATTTCAGTCTCCTTTACAAAATCCTGGCTGTGCCTATAGATAGGATCTTTAAAGTGTCCACTCCAAAAGCTGGGGCAGGGGAGCATCAATATTTCCTCTGCTCATATACAGTACTCAGTTCTCATTAAAATTCCTGTGTCCGTTTTTTCCCCCCCTCCCCTCCCACTTCTTCTGGGAAGACATTTAAGCAACTTTAGAAATGGTAAGATTATGAAATCAGTCAGTGAAGAAGAAAGATTAGAAGAGTTGGTGGGGGTGCGGGAGTGGGGAGTATTTTTTTTATTTATTCACACTGATCAGAAGTCTTTAGTGTAGTGATAAACAGGTTTATCTCCTGTGCCTGACCTACTATTACAAAGAGTAGGTCTTTGTTAATAATTCAGTGCCCTTGCCCTTTTTATTTAAGTCTTGAACTTACTTTCTCTGTTCGTCCAAGGAGCGATGCAGCAAAAACAGGATTGGGGGGAGTTCTGATGCACCTAATATTTTGAAAGTGAAAAAATGACACTTTAACAACACAGTTCAGATTCTTCGAGTCCTGCCTACCCTAAATCCTTCTTGTGCTTTCAGGTGATGTATTTATGGCATGAGGGAAGCTGTGCTTTCCCGATCTATCTTGGTTGCTCTCTGAATGTCCCTGTTTTAAGTCACAGATATGTTCCCTTTCTCACTACCATTTAATGAAAAGATTCTTCTGGTCATCCATTTTTCAGTTGTCCTTTGACTCCAGTGACATACTTCCAATTTCTTAACACAGGTTATGGCAGGTATCTGGAGCATCTCCTACTTTTCTGTAAGACTCTGGACTACTTGTAGTATGGGGCTAACTGGCATGAAACTGAATTCTAGCCAGTTATGGGGTAACTGTAATGGAACTAGTTTCCACTAATAATAGGTCTAGTCTAAATGCATTTGGGGACAAATTGGGCTTTAAATTTTTTGTTGTTGTTTTTTTGGGTTTTTTTACACAAGAGCACATTCTGAAATA